CCCGCCGCTTATGTGCTTATGCCTGGCTGGAATGTGTCCTTGAGCTCTGATGACGCCACTTATTTGTCCTGATGGAGGTGGTGGGTGTACCTGTGTCTGCCTCCAGGTCACATCTTTTGCCCCACCCACTTTTTGCCTCTGGCCGTTACTGGCATGCGCATGCAGACACAGGCAGGCTGATGAGCACAGATTAAATCCTGCTGGGAACAGAGTGGTGCTGCCAATGCAGTATTAAACCTCCAAGCCCATCAGCTGATGCCACCGTGTGATGTCAGCTGATGGCTGGATGGCCATGATTGCAGGGAAATGGCCTGGTGGGCCAAACCGGGTCCCAAGGGGGCTGGAAGTTCCCTACTCCTGGTCTGCTCTCACTTGCAGCAGCCTTCCAGGGTCACTGCAGGAGAAGGACTGTGAGCAACACCACGGAAGGGGCATCTCTAGGGCCCAGGTTAAATCGACAAGCCAGGAGGTTTAATGTAATGTTAATGTAATCTTGTTATATTTATAGCACTGGAATGTTGGGTTATGCAGTCATTTTATGATGTTATTGTGATTTTTTTCTTGCAATGGTTGATTTTGAGATGCTTTCCTGCTTCCTTTGCTGCAAGCTGCTTTGAGCATGATTCTTTTTTGAGGAAAAGTGACATACAAATACAATTATGAATGAATGAATGAAACAGGCTGAGCCGGGGGTCTTCTCCTATGGAGTAACAGGACCCCCCCCCCAGTCTGATCTCTGGCCTGCTTCACATGGAATCAACTAGCCTTAGGATTAGACCAGGTTTTGAAAGAGTTCAACATTGCAAACCCTCCCTATTTTACAGTAGACAGATCCCCAACCTCACGTTTGCTGATCCACAAGATGGCTTGGCCACCCAGATTCCTGAACTGGATCTCTCTCTGTCTTACAAAGAGTCAGGTTTGGGGTAAGGGCAAGGAGGCTGGAAGAGTTCAACAAGCCTGGAGCCTCGCCTATGAAAGTCTACCAAGCACATGGATGGAATAAAAGAAGGATCCAGGGTCTTGAATGAGCACAGTTAAGATTATTTCTTTCTAAAGGGATTTTCAGATGCATGCAGCCCTGCAAGGAGAGAAAGGAATGGAATTCCAAAAGGCACACAGAGAGACAAAGGAAAGGATGGGGGAGACCAACAAGCCTGGGGTCTCATCTTGGAATGAAGATAGGCAGAAGGGTAATGATTTTGAGCCTTCACCATAGATGGCAGTGTGGCGTTAACTGGTGGGAAAGAAATTTGAGAAAGACAACACACAACCGGTTTCACATAAATCTGTGCTTAGACCTGATGGTTCAGATAGAATGCAACAGAATGAATATTAAGGAAATGTGTCTGGCAGCCACAGAACCACCTCAAGTTTACCCTGCCTATACTAGGATAATCACAGTTGTATATGCTTTTAAAAAATCAAATTGTTAATTACTGCAATCAAGTATTTTTTTAAAAGCATCCAAGGCACTGTTTGGAATGGGAACAAATGCCCTTATCAGCAACAGTGCTTATCATCGCAGTTCAGGCTTTTCTTTTCATTTTTAATGACTGCATATATTTAGAAATTTCAAGTACCAGAAGATGCCAAACTTAAACCCAAACCCAGTTCAGGAGTGAGAAGTCACCTTGCTTCTTAGAGCAAAGATTTAAAATATACTAAATTCGCAGATGATTCTCAAAAATCAGAACTCTGCTCATAAGCGCACCTCAGTGGCTTTATCAACACAGCGGCTTTCAGGTCTGATTAGAGACCTAAAAGAAATAAGGAAAGATTTGAACACAGAGAGAGAGATGGAGAGAAAAGAACCCCCTGGATAAAAAGCCACAGAGTAGCTGTTTTTGAGAAAGGTTTCTGAAAAGAAACCATTTTTTTTGCAGAAGAACTTGGTCCTATTTGTATGTGACTGAAAGCAACTAGGATTCCCCCAAAAGGCAGCAGAGATCGTCTCCTGGATTTATCCACAAACCACAGGCCTTCCTTCCACAGCTGTCACAAACAAAGCTGCCCGTAAGCCACGCGACTTGGGTGAACCACAAGCTTTATTGAATGCTCTGCTGAAGATAAGCCACACAGCCTGCACATCCCTTTGTTCCAAATAGCCATTTTAGGACGGATCTCTGCTGTGCCTCTTAGCCCTGTATCACGCACCCACACACCCTTCCCTCCTTTGTGCCTCCCCCCCCCCCCCCGCTGCACACACAAAGAAGCTCTGTACTGTATTTGCTTGTCCCAAATTCATATGCAGCTCAAGTCTCTGAGTATCTGGGACTCAGTGGTTTCCTTGGTTCACAGCTGATCTGTGCATGTTGTGCTTGTGATCCCAAGGCATTTCACACTTCAGAGCAACTCAGGATATACCCCAGACAATCTCTTGCTACAGCTCTCTCCCTGGGTCTCCAGTCAAAAAACTAGAAGATATTTTATATCAGTGACCAAGACCAGTCATGCAAAAGCACAAACAGGCAGCGAATGCAAAGGACCCTGGAACAAAGAACGCAGAGACATAAAATTCAATTACTGGGAGAGACCCCTGAACCTCAGGAAAGTTTATCCCATCAGTCTCCAGAAATTGGATTAGTTGACAGCCCCAGAGTTGTTTAAACTATTTAAAATAGGTCTTTTGTATGCTAAACAGGGGCTCTGTTTTTGAATTGCAAATACCAAGCAAATCATTATCTCAGTTCCTGAGATGGACAAGGCTCCTGGATTCACAAGCAGCAGCTGCTCATGTCCTTCCAGGTGCAATGTTTGTAGTTGGGCTGAGAAAAAGAAGAAATTAGGGGACACAAATAAAGCTGAAACTCAATGAGAAATAAAAAACACCTCTGGCAGTAAGTGAAAAGAATTAACTCTGCATATTTCATGGGCCTCCCTTCCCTTACTGCCCCTGCTTGATCCCAAACATGCTAGGCGCTAGATGTGGTGCTCCCACTGGCAGTAGGGAGGTGGGTGGGCATGGAAAAATGCAGTCCCTGGAGCAAAGAAGTGCAGCATGAACTTTCAAAGCCATTGAGAGGTCTTGTACGGCTCAGCAGAGTCTACCTTCCTCAAACACAACCAGCATCAACAGATGGAGAAAGCACATAGAGAAGTTGCAAGAGCACCTTGACTCTGAAAGGGCTGTTCATCTGTCTCTCACACACACACCCTCACACAATTTTTATGACACATTCAACCATCCTTGTGCTAGACAGCACTGTTTACAAAGAAGCAACTTCATACTGAACTGAAAATGCTATTTTGGACACAGGACCAAAAGCAAGATATCTAGCTGGGTGGGAGGGCAGAACTGGCTCAGAGGAAGGGCAGTGAGCTTACAGCAGAAAAGATAAGGCTGTGAAGACAAGGCCCAGTAATCCCTTAGGTGTCTGGGGCTTTGAGCCTGCTTGGTAACATCATCTCACTGAACAATGGGGAACCTGTGGACCTTCAGACGTTGTTGGCCTACAAATTCCATCATCCATGCTGGCTGGGGATCATAGGAGTTGGGATTCCAATAACATCCAGAGGGCCACATGCCTGAGATCTAGTATCTCTTGTGTGAACAGGCCTAAAATCAAGAGATAAGTACCACCACTTGCTAAATCAGTTTTCTCCAGCATGGAGCCCTGCAGATATTTTGGACAACAGCCCCCATCAATCCCAGTCATGCTGATGGGATTTGGAGTCCAGGAACATCTGGAAGGCACCCTAAATAGTTGGGTATTGTTTTCATTGTTAGCTCAGTCTTAAGTACTAGCCAATGGGCGATAAAAGGATGCATTTCGGGGAAAGGCAGAGGACTTTGCTTACCCAAATAAATGAAATCAACTTCAAAACAAAACAAAAACCCGTGATACACTTGAATAACCCGCATTCATGGTTCCTGGTAATTGCAGAGGGTGGAAGAACAGAGCAAAAAAAAGAGAGGATCTTTAAGGTTCCCAAGCGCAAACTGGACAGCTGTAATCTGCAGAGATGGTAACAGATTACTATAAAATTGCTCTTGAATGGGCAATGGGGGAGGGCTGGAGGAATTGCCAGATCATAATGTCCGGAAGGGGGAAGGATACCTGGGAAATATTGGAATGCTTTTATTACTGTGCTAGAACACTGGAGTGAGAATTGAAAGGGTTGGAGAGATTACATGTTCTATGGAGCAAAAGATTCTCTCTCCAGAAAGGAGAAATGAGGCGAGGGGAGATGTATTAACCCTCCATAGGTTTTTTTAGAGGCAAGGAGTTTTCTGTTTGCAAAGGATGGGATGAAACCAAGAGGAAATCTAGATCCCGGTGTATTTTTAAGAAGCCAGTGCTAGAAGACCAGATCCTAACCCAGTTTCCTCAAAAAGAAATGTTGATTGGGAATTCTTTCCAGGCAGGCATCTCCTGGAAGGTTCCACTGGAACCAAGGGAACGATTTCCCCCCAGATCAGGCGTGCTTGGGATTGTGAGACCAAGTTGGACTCTTCAGGGTTTTTACTCAAAAACTGGGCAACAGGAGAGTGGAGGATAGCAGGCCTCAATTCTGTGCATGTTTACTGCAATGTAAACCAGGGTCTTATTCCCATAAGAACATAATAAGAGCCTCTTGGATCAGGCCAATGGCCCCTATAGCCCAGTATCCTGTTCTCACAGTGTCCCCACAGGGAATGTTGAACCAGATGAGCCGTTGGCCTGATTCAGCTGGCTCTTGTGAGGTTCTCATGGGAAGATGACCCTGGTTTCCTTTAGAGTAAACATGCACAGGATTGAGGCCTGCCATCCTCCACTCACTCTATATCCATGGAGAGCTCTGGTTCTTATGGGACACCAGATAAGGCCAAGTGCCCATTTAGCCCAGCGTCTTCTTCCCATCAGGGCCAGCTGGGCTGCTGAACCAGACGGGGCATGGGACTGATCCAGGGGGGTGTTGTTCTGAACGTAGTAAGGTGACGCGCAGGCCACCCCAGATGGGCCCGCTCCATCCGTAGGAATCTCCCTGCTTTGTCCCCCATCCCGCCTGTGTCTCACCTGGTGGGGCGCAGCTTGGCGTCCTTTTTGCTGTCCACCACGGCCGGGACGCAGTTGGTCAGCTCGGTCCAGTCGGCGTGGAGCCCGCAGCTCCAGCCAGTGGAGAAGCGGGAGAAGAGCCAGGTCTCTCGCTTGCCCGGCCGGAGGCAGGTGCACTTTTTCTGCCCGGCCTTGCACTCGCAAGGTTGCTCCAGCTGGATGTTGCGCACCAGGTGGCGCCCGAAGGTGGTGCCGCCTGTCTTCTGGATGTGCAGGAAAACGATCAGATCGTCGCCAGCGATCTGGAAGTCCACGCGGCGCAGCAGGTCGGCTTCCGAGAAGTTCAGGCGCGGCACGAAGCGCGGAGGGCTCTCGTCCTCCGCCCGGTAAGGGTCCCCTCCCTGGCCGGCCTGGCGCGCCAGCAGGGCGGACGGGGCGGCCTCGGCCAGGCGCTGCCGCAGCTGGCACTCGCTACCCGGGCACACGTACTGCAGCACCAGCCCCCCGAAGAGCAGCAGCATCACCAGCGCCGCCAGCCCCCGGTGCCAGCGCTCCTCCATGGCCGGGGCGGGCGCATCGCCGCCGCCCGACGGCCCCGGTCACCGCCCCGCCAGCGTCGCCGCCGCCGCCCTCCTTCTCGCCCCTGCCTCCATACCGGTGCGCACCGAAGAACGGCTCCCTCCACCTTCTCCTGCCGCCGACGCCGTTGCTCTGCCTGCCCGCTGCGGCTCCAGCGCCCGCCCCCGGCCCGCCCCTCGACGGCTGCAGTCCCCGCCTCAGGAGCGGCCTCTCCACTCAGAAGAAGCCTTTGTCTTTTCTGCCGGAGCGCCCGCGCCTCGCTTGCCTCCTCCTCCTCCTCCTCGGAAAGGCTGCCGGACCCACCCCGAGCGCATCGCCGACCCCGGCAGGAACAGAGAGCGGCTTGGTGGCCCGGTCCTCCACTCCAAAGACGCGCCTCGCTCTCCTGGTTGCTGGCGCGGTTTCTCCCTGTCGCTCCTAGGAAGAGGCGCCGCTGAAAGATTCACACGTCCTGGGGAGGCCTGGGCACTGTCGCTCTTCCACGCAGCTTTCTCCGGCCAACCCCCTCCCCGTCCAGTTTGGGAGCCTCTAAGGCCGTCTCCTTTCCCTAGAGCCATCATTTATTTCCCTCTCTGTCACGCACGCGCACATATAATGCCTGCCTTCCATGTTTCCACCCTCTGGCTTTTCCCAACCTGGTGCCCTCCATAAGTTTCTGGGACTCCCATTCCCATCTTCCCTGACGAGGCAGGCGCTTTGATCTGAAGACCACCAGCCTAGGGTTGAAGGCCAGGCTCAGGGACCACACCACAATACATTCAGCAGGGGGAAATGGCCTCTCTTAGTAGGTGAAGAAATTGACACCACCAGCACCAGCTTTCATCAGAAGGTCTCAAGGTTTAAAATTCAGAATTGAAAACGTGTGGGTTAAGAACAGAGAGATCTTTTAAAAGCATTTGCTTGCTGGGTCAGGCCAACTAGATGCTACCAGGAAGCCCAAAAGCAAACCATGAGGGCAATAGTTGGAAGTGTGTCCCCAGCATAATGGAGACTAGGGCTGGGTGTAAAACACTCAGATGTACACTGCCTCTGGATATGGAGGTTCTATTAATCAGGGCTAATAAGAACATAAGGAAAGCCTGGTTGCTGGATCTGACCAAAGGCCTATCTAGTCCCATTTATCGCAGAGGCCAAGCAGGTGCTTAATAGAAGCCTACTGTTAGGACATCATTACTGCCATTATAGAGTTGGAAGGGACCCCTAGGGGTCATCTAGTCCAACCCCCTGCAATGTACTTCATTTTATGCCACCTTTCCATTACAGGTGGCACCATGGGTCAGCGCATCTGGTTGTCCACCAGAAGGCTGGTGGTTCATTTGGTAGGGAGAGAGACTGTACTCCTATTATATCTCCTCATACTTTTCCAACATATATTTTGAAGAAGAAGAAGAAGAAGAAGAGTTTGGATTTGATATCCCGCCTTTCACTCCCCTTCAGGAGTCTCAAAGCGGCTAACATTCTCCTTTCCCTTCCTCCCCCACAACAAACACTCTGTGAGGTGAGTGGGGCTGAGAGACTTCAGAAAAGTGTGACTAGCCCAAGGTCACCCAGCAGCTGCATGTGGAGGAGCGGGGAATCGAACCCGGTTCCCCAGATTACAAGACTACCGCTCTTAACCACTACTTGAAAGTGAGCCAAGATGAAGGGCATATTGCTAACCTCTCCCACTCCCCCCAAAAAAGTATCCAAGGCATGGAACCCATCAAGTTGATTTGATTCTATTTGAGTTCCACTCCTACCCAGAATAAATGTGTCATTTGAAGGAGCTGTGTTGTGAAATGTTCAGTTTGCAAAAGGCTATGTATTTCCATTCCAGTGTTTCAAGCAATCTGAAGGGGGGGGATGAGTATATTCAATCCACTTGTTTTTGCTTTAACTATGATATATTTACTTTAAAAATTAATAGACACATAAAGCAAGGAGGGAGGAGCCCTACACATTGACTGCTAATTCATTGTGGGAATCAGAGGTCGTCTAATTTTGATGTGAAATTAATACATACCATAAAAGACGTGATGCATACAGGGGATGGCGCTCCCTGACAAACCATTAGCAGGAACGAGCTAAAATAAGCAATGATCAGTCCTTCACAGTTGAGGTATCATTGCCCATTTTCCTGCATCAAGCCAGTTGCCGCTTACCAAGCTGAATGTGGGGAATGGATGTGCACTTTCCATTTAGGCTGGAATTGTGCCTGTCAGATCTGACCAGTCTTTCCACCACCTGCCGCTACCTGGTGCCTTCTGCATGCAAAGCAGATATTCTGCTGTTGAATGAAGCCCACCCCCTTCTTTCCATGCTTCCGTGCATCAAGAAATATATTAGCATGACTTCATTCAGCATTCACAGGGCCCCCCATTCCTGATCTCGAAGCATCAAGGCTGCTTCCCTGCACCCCTTCTGGACCCAGGAGCCTGGTGGGGGGCAAATGTTGCAAGGGGGTGGCTGGTCTTTGAGTGAAGGGCTCCGGGCGGGGAAGGCTGCCCAGATTGCTGCAATGTGATACATGTAATGTGATATAATGAAAGATAGGCAGAAGGTACATTTGGCGCGCGCGCGCACACACACACACACACACACACACAGAGAGAGACCCTCCTAGTGTCCCTATTTTCCAGGGATGTCCCTGATTTAGAGAAGCCTTCTAGGGCTGCCATACGTTTGGACTGTCAAAATGGCATCCAGTCGGATTTTTGCCGAATCAGTAAAAAAATGTCCGGTGGAACCCGGACATATGGCAACCAGGGCGATTTTTAAAAGAAAAATGCTGTAAAAAGCCAAAAAAAGGAGCCCAAAACCTTTTTTTTTTTTCATTAGAGAAATGTTGGAGGAGATAAATAACTATACAACCTTTAGAAGACATCTGAAGGCAGTCCTGTATAGGGAAGTTTTTAAATATTGAATGTTTTATGTATGCTGGAAGCCATCCACAGTGGCTGGGGAAACCCAGCCAGATGGGCAGGGGATAAATATTCTTATTCTTATTTAACAGCATGTCCCTATTTTCATTGGAGAAATGTTGGAGAGTTATGTATAATGTTTTCGCCTGGTGCTCAAAGATATGCAATGAAGGCACCCTTGAGCCTCCCTGGGAAGAGCATTCCACAGTTGCCAGTAAGCCACCACAGCTCATGCCAGCACCCCCTTTTTATTTTTTAAAGATAAGAGCATATGAATGAATACTAGCTGTGATAGCTGGGCTCCTGAAGACTCCTGGGAAGTGTAGTTTGCTACGGGTGCTGACAATTGCTAGAGACCTCTGTTCCCCTCACAGAGCTACAATTCCTGAAGTGGTTTCACAATCAATCTTCCTTCCTAGGAGACTCCGGGAATTTTAGCTCTGTGATGGGAATAGGGGTCCTCCCAAAAACTCTCAGCACCTGTAACAGACTTCAGTTCCCAGGATCCTTTGGGCAAAGCCATGACTGCTTAAAGTGGTATGAGGCTGCTTTAAATGTATACAGTCATATCTCAGGTTGAAGTAGCTTCGGGATAAGTATTTTCGGGTTGCGCGCTGCAAAGACCCGAAAGTAACAGAGCGCGTTACTTCCGGGTTTTGCCGCTCGCGCATGCGCAGGCGCTCAAAATGACGTCACACACATGCGTGGAAGTGGTGAATCGCGACAACTGAAGTTGCGTTCGCTTCAGGATGCGAACAGGGCTCTGGAATGGATCCTGTTCGCAAACAGAGGTACCACTGTACTGCAAATGGAGCCTAATGCTGTGTCACAAAAGAGGCCTGTGTGTTATGAAAGGAGCCTGCTGACAAGTTTTTGTATACATTTTCAGCTTCAGAGTGGTGTGCATCCAATGTAAGAACAGGTGTATTCAAAACAACAACAACCCCCAAAAATCCTTTGATCCAGACATGAGAAGTTTAATACATTATGAGTTAAGACCAAGTGCTGCAAGCACTTTCTGGGGCAGAACTTGGTAAGGTAGGTTTCAGAAACGGGATTGACATTGTCTGCAGAATAGCTCTTCCTTGCCTCAAGTTGTTTGAAAGTGAGACATCAGTGCTCAGTGACCCACAGGGACTCGTCAGCAGTGCAAGAGATGACTAATAATCCTTCATGATGTGACAACCTGTGCCTGAATGGCTAACGCAGGCAGATTGCAAAAAAAGGTGAGCGAGAGGGGAGAAGCAGGCATCAAAAAGCAGCTTTGATTCATTCCAACAATATCTGCTTTGGAGGCATGACACACAAAGGATGCTGTCAGATTGCCAGAAAAGGACAGCAGAAACCAACCTTGGTTATCTGCCAAGTGCGAACACAACCGTACTGGTACAATGAGGTTGCAAATGCACTAAATGTCATGCTTTTTTGGGGGGGGTACTCAAGGGTAAGCAGTACCGGCACTTTGTTGTTGTTGTTGTTAAAAAAATGTGACACTTACTATAGCAACTTCATGGTGAGTAAAGGTAAAGGACCCCTGACAGTTAAGTCCAGTTGTGAACAACTCTGGGGTTGCAGAGCTCATCTCGCTTTTACTGGCCAAGGAAGCCAGCGTTGTCCACAGACATTTTTTCCGGGTCATGTGGCCAGCATAACTAAGCCACTTCTGGCGCAACAGAACACCAGAACCAGAGCAGCGCACGGAAACACCGTTTACCTTCCCGCCAGAGCAGTACCTATTTATCTACTTGCACTTTGACGTGCTTTTGAACTGCTAGGTGGGCAGGATCGTGGTGAGTACCGGCACCTATTTTTCTAGAAAAAAAGCACTGACTAAAAGGTTCCCCTTTTCTTCAAACCCATCATCCCTTTGCCACCCTCCTAAACATCACTTTCTGGAATGTCCCCTGTCCAAATTCTGCAAACTTATGTATAAAGTATTGTTTTATTGTTCTCTTGTTGAACCACCGCAATTATTTTTCTCAGGCTTGTGAACAACCACTTTACATAGCAATGGGGGATTGGGGAGCAGGAGGGAAAGAGTCCTGAGCCGGGTTGGGGGCAGAAAAATTCAGAGCAAGGCGAAGTGTTCAGAACTTGGCCATTTTCCTCTCTCTCTCTCCAAATACTAGAGCTCCAGGTCCTCAAATGACATTGGTGGACAGTAGATTCAGGGCAAACAGGAGAAAGTGCTTCTTTGCACAGTTTAACCTGTGGAACTCACAGGCACATGGGGTGGGAGTGGCTGCTGGTGTCAGTAGTGGTCCCAAGGAGCTTGAGTAAATTCATAGGGGTGGGCAGGACCATCCACAGCTGTTACATCACCACAACTAAAAGGGCATCCATGTTCAGAAGCAGTATAGCTCTGAATGCCAGATGACAGAGAGGGCTTTTGCCTCCACGCTCAGCCTGTCTGCTTCCTGGAGCCATCTGTTTGGGCACTGCAGGAAACAAAATGTTGGTTCAGATGGACCTTTGATCTGATACAGCAGGGCTCTTTCTGTGCCCTTAAAGAATCATTTCAAGATAAAATTGCAGAAGTGCAGTGAATTTTAAAAACATTTATTGATGCTTCTTTAGATTCCTCATAATAATTACAGCATTATTATGGAAATGGGGAGAGAGCCTTCCTTTATCTTTTGAGCAAAGATGGTCATGTCT